TTTCCTTTTATACTGAAGGAGCATCAATCTGTTGCAATACTACGGAGGTATCTTCTAGTAGCATCTGATAAGATTACATATCGAAAATGCGGTTTGCCCTTAATGAGGCTGTGAGTAGTCGCCCAGGTCAGCTTGTGCGCTTTGAACTGGATGAATGAATTTTGGAGTGAAGGGGAGCTAAGAAGACACTTTTTAAATGGCTTGGTCATCAAATCGTCAGTACCATTTTAAGCTATTCGAATCAATTTAACGGGTTTCGGTGTAATTAATAAAAGGGCCTAGTGCTTTGGCTACCTTGAGCAAAAAGAAAATGACAGCGAACGAACCCGAAGCATGTCGAGAGCCAGTTGACCAGCTGGAGGAAAAGTAGACTCAATGGAGAGAAGTTGATTCGCCTAGTGAATGTGAATCAAAATACGAAACGCAGACTTTAGGTAGGAAGCTTTCTCATTCAATAGCTCCTGCCATCACTACTTTACTGATAATGCCCATCACAACTTAAAGGTTTACAAAAGCCAGTCCTTTAATTTTGCGGAACAAACAAGACTGATAAGCCAATGAGAAAGAGGTTGCATTCTTGAAAATGCCATGAAACCAGATGACGTAGTATGAACTAGAGGAAATGTGCCCTTAACTCTGGCAGAACCATCCATTCACAAATTAATGTAGCAACTGGTCTAACACCCAGTCTGTAGACCCACTCAGCCAAATGCCCAATCAGCCGGTAATTTAACCTTCCATCGGGTCACCTCCTTCCAGCCACCTGTTTCAGTCGCAACACAAACCAGTGCCTCATTAAAATGCGCATGCAAACATAGCTCTTCTTAAGGGTTCATCAGTTCCCTCCACTGGCTACACCTCATAAGATGATAAATTTCGACCATGAAAAATACATATAGGAACGAAATAGAGCTAAAATAACGATGACAAAGAAACTCACCACCTCTGTTGAATCGACAATGACATTCGAGCGAAGGAGGTGGACAAGACGTGAGAAATCGTGAGATCTTACAAGACTTTCCACCAAAAGAGTGTAAAGCATGTGCTAAAAGGTAAAATCAAAACAAGATCAATGAGTAAGACTTCATAATATTTTTCAGGCGACAAAATATTCAGTTCTTGTAAGAATCTTCAGCTAAATGCAGGGTTGTGAGAAATTACACTGTCGTTGGAATGTAGTCCCACAATCACTCTTACAATTTATGCAAACAATTCTGACTTCAGGATTGGTATAGTCTTAAAGTCTACAGCAAACAGAGACAAGCAGTGAGGTGATTTTAAAAGAAAGAAGTGTAAATGACCCCTTTTGCTGTTTATTTACACTTAGGCCCGTCCAAAAAGGCACGTACCTCATGTGAGGTAGTGCGGCATGCTAGTGACGCCAATAACAACTTCTCCATTGTCATGCTAAAAAGCAGCCTAGATGAAGGGATTGATAGAAGATGCGCTGCTTGCGAAACTCCATCGTAGAAATCACAATGAAAAGAATTAATTGTGTACCACGCAATGAGAAGAAGGGAGATAAGGTTTCAGGACAAGAGCTTAGAAGAATGACTCATCTTAAGATTAATCACAATTGAAGCATTCGTAACTTAAAAATCAACGCCATAAACTCAAAGCGCACACATACACACACAGCCGTCCAACTTTTACCTCAATAAAAGTTGCTAGAGCAGTAGAAAACGCTTAAGGGGTCGTCACTTAGTTCAAAATCTACGATTAGAGAAAAGGAGTAAAAAACCACTGATGCAGACGATCTGGTTGCAAAATAGCATTAGGTTTCCTAAGACCAGCACCCGTTCAGAATTGCTCTCGTAACTTAGGAGTGAATCTCAGACTACATTTGAAAAATATAGCCAAGTTCACATAGCATCGTTTTTATATGGCCAAATGGTTTTGCTTCTCCTCACACTCCGCTTTCGAAAGTGGCGTGATCAAAATGACACTTACATCAATGCAGAGGGAACGAGATTTGAGATCGTTAATGTAGCTCAAAGTGAGATGAGAGAGGACCTTTTGAATTTTCAGGTCCTGAAAAAGACAAAAAGAAGCGGATGATTCGAACTTCTATTAATCAAAGACTGAAGGGCGTAATGTGGACATCAAACAGAAATTTCGCATGGGCTAGTGGTACCAACCACAACATCCAAAACCCATTTTTAAACTCGAGCAAAACTTGGGAAATTGCCTTCATTTGGTAGCCTTATCGAATCAGAAAATCTGGATACTGATTGGCCTATCGGAACAGATTTTGCTAAAGCGATTGGTTGCAGCATTTCATTGGTTGGCAGGACCTATGAAAAACGCTCACATACCACATGGCAGATTTTACGAAGAGTGCAACTTTTAGCTAAGAAAAGAACGTGTAAACTCACGTTCGTAAAAGAGGCAAGGGGAGCGAAAATGGTCTCATAAACGTCATCAGGAGAGAAGACAATTGGTTGTCGGTAGAAACGACGAATCGGTTCAGAAGAATTCGTCTCCTAGTAAAAAAAATGCTGCAGGTGGAGTTACTCCATGCATCCAGCTACTATTTGGTACAATGGACCAGATAACTGTGGAACCATTGAGGCAAGCGTAAAGCCATGCATTTCTTCAAATAAGCTGCAATAAATTCAGTATCGAAACGAACATCCAACCGTCTCACTATTCATACATTCGGCAGTCTGCATTTTTGTTCACCGACTTAAGAAGTATAAAACCATCCACCTGACACTCTGACTCGCCACATATCCAACGCACAATCATTTCTCTGATCCACAAACAACTTCGCAGAGATAAC